AATGTAATTTAATTCCCTCTAAATGCCTAGTTCTCCTTCTAGGGAAGGAAGTCAAGGCTGGATGCTCATGTTTCAGTATCCTTATACTGGGATACTCTCTTATGACATACTAATAAGCACTGTTCACTTGGTGTCCCTCTGCCGATAGACTGTATCCATCTCCGAAATGGCCTGCTCCCCATTCTATTGGCAGATGCTTTCTGTCTGTGGAATGACACCATGCCCATGATGCCTCATTATTCCACTTTGCAGCATTAACTGACAAGTCAACTGAGGGTTTAAACCATCTCACACCTGCTGTGGCAAACAGTCCTTATGCCCTAATAACAAACTACTTGATGTGTATATAAGACTGCATATGCAAATGAGAATTATTTTAAAAACACACATGAATATAAAATATCTCGGACTGGAATAATATTGCCCAGGCAGTATGTTGCTCCAAATCAGGTGACTTTGAAAAGGAAATCTGAAGAAAGCAGAATGAATGGAAAATGTGCAAAGACCATCTTGAGGGCCTGGGCAAAGAAAAGGTGCAGGCAGGAAAAAGAAAGGAAGGCAGTGGGAAGGCGCAGCGTTTCTTCTGCTTTATATGGCCATGGCTGTTCTATTAGCACAGTTTCCTCTCCCACCACCTCCAGCTTTTTCACTGCACTGGAGCTCTTCTCATTCCTTTCAGTCATGACCAAAATTCTTCAAGGAAATGGATGCTTCTAAGTGAACCTTTCATAGAGCATCTGTCTGAGGGCTTGTAAATCACCCTGGACCTTTGAAACATAGGATCCCAGGGACTTGTATTGTTGTCCACATTACAACAGCAGCTATAATTCCTCATATGACTGTTCCCCACAATGACCAAGATCTCAAGTCTTTTCCTGAATCATAAAATCTTTTCTTGTTCAAACATTCACTTCACCTTTTGGCCATTTCATTCAAAACATTTATTTCTTCTGAGTAAATATAATTGGAATTATGCTGCAACTGAGTTTTCACTAGATTGTGCTAATTATTACATTAAGTCTAATAATTTCTGTCCAAAAATACAAGATCTGCACACACTGTCCTATATTGTTTGCCAATCTACAATTTCCATACTATTCTTCCACCTAGCCCAGCAGTATTACTTATTCTGCCTGGCAGGAACTCTATTAGTTTATATCAGATTCTAACTTGAAATGCCAAGTACTGAGCCTTCTGAACAGTCTCCCTTATAAACTTCCTCACATCTTAACAATGGATGTTACATCTGCATGCATACCTCCAACTTCATCATAACACTTGTGAGTTATTCTATAAGCAACAACCTGGTACCTCTTAGCTGGGCTACAATCCCCCATATCCCCAAAAACTAGCCATGCTGGCTGTGGCTTACAGCAGTTGTAGTCTAAAAGACTTGGACCACAGAAGGGTGCATCTTTTGTTGAGAATGGAGATACAAGTCCACATCTGAGGACATCCACTCGTATAGGCCATCCAGTAGCAAGGCTGTGTTTATCACAAAACGTAACTTCAGGCATCTTAATGAAATGCATATGACAGCTTGAATATATAACAGTCTTCCCCAGTGAGAACCCCTTTCTTTTAATTCTGACCAACGTTTTGTGATGCTCTTATAGTTTCTTTCATGTACTTTAGAAATAGTGAATTATAGATACCATTCAAGCACTACATTAATCATAAGGCAATAGGCACAGCCCTCTACCAAGCATTTGTAGACTTTTACTCCCTCTTTTTTTCTAGTTCTTCATCTTTCAATTATAAAAAAAATTCTTGCTTCCTACTCAACTGGCGAGGGCCAAGTTCAAACAGATCCACAATTCTGTCATTTTCAGTTTTAACATATTTTATAACCTAGCAATCACTGAAACTGAAACTTCCACTCTACACTGATTACCATCTTATAGTTCTTCTCCTAATTTACCTCCATCCCTTTGCATCTTTTTCTGACAAAATTATTAGAACTCAAAAGAAAACACTCTCTGCTGCAAGAAATGCCCCATGTAATACAACTGGAGGCCACTATGTGGACTGTGTAGCTCTCACAATGATTCTTTGCTTCACAACTGATTGAATATGGGATAGAACAATTTCTATATTATGAGTTGCCCTAGCAGATAATATTTCCCTTACTTTTTGAAAACTATGTTCCATGCATACAGTACTTCATGATGATTAAAAATTGTGCATGCTGAAATGGCCAGTCTTTGCAAATGACTGACTTTTTTAAAAAATAAAAAGCCCAAATCTGCACTGGCCATTTGTGTTTCATAGCCAAACTGAAAAGTGATATGGTGTACTTTATTGTAGTAATTCTTACTGCAACAGAAGCACAGATAAGTGAGTTCCTTGTCATAAAAGAAAGAAAAAAGATGAGCAGTATGCTACTTATTGTGCTTTTGATTAGGAAGTAAAACAGGACAAGAGAATTCTTATAAGCTTTTATGCAACTGATTCAAGAAGAGTCATCAGCTTTTTCAAGTAATATATACAAAGGGTTTTTTCCTTAAAGAAAGGATGATGCTGAAAGCAACAGAACCATATGTAGAATAAAAATAACACATGATGAATATATCAAATAGTGCATGGCAAAAAGAGGGACAGAAAGTACATTCGTACTAAAAACAGCATGCATTCAACTCTCATTATCAGCAGAGATTTGCCTGCAGAGTTGTCATGTATTCTGTATACATTTTTCTAAGAATGTATAGAATCTGATAGAAGAAATGGTTTCTTCTTCCGGTACAATGCTTCTCAGCCCTTTCAATTCTGTTAAGACTACTTACAAGAGCATGAACACACTCCTTTGCAAAATCTTAGCACCAGCTTTATCATGATCCTGACAGCATCAGATGAACAAATACAATGTGTTTTTTCTCTTGTAACTGTTCTGCCCAGTTGGACAAAGGATTAGGTATAACAAAGTTTACTTCTTGCATGTAATTGTCTCACTGACATGGGAAAGAGATCCCTGGGCAAGGGGGCTTTACTGTATTAAAACTCTTCTGTATTATGACAGTGCTTGTCTTCAGTTTAGCATGTGCTGGTGCTGCTACACAAGAATGATGTCATACATTTAATTTCTTCAAATAATGAAAAGATGTGCAAGTGTTTAGAAGAACATTCAAGTTCTGCCCAACAAGTCAGAGTTAACAGGCCATTAACAGCAATCTCAATTAGCCTAATTTATGTAAACAGCATGTTTGCAGACAGAAACTGGACTTACAGCCACTTGCCACTAATAAGGTTAAAAGCCCTCCTAAGAAACGATGCCTGAGATTCTGAGAACTTTTCCTGTAGCTAAGACAGACTCTCTATACTCAGTTCTGTTCTTTTGTTGCTTTCCTTTAATGTTACAACTAATAATCTTTTTAAAAACAAAGCGTTATAACCCTATGAGAGCTGTAACCAACGAAATAATTTTTTTTCATCAAAAATATTGTAACAGAGAACCCACTCCAACATTAAAGACGTTTCAAAAGAAAATGGGTATATGTTTTCTAACAATATATTAGCTAAAGGAAATGAGCTCTTTCTCCTCCTATTACACAAACACATTTGTTTCTCCTTCCCATCATCATGTTTGCCTCATATAAGTTTGGATTTGCTCTTTCCTATCAATGTGAATCAAGGCTTACTGCTTTTCAGACACTGCAGAAGCAAAGAAAAGCAGCAGTGGCTTGTTGGAGAAGCACAAGGAGTCAACTCTAAGGGGAAAACTGTGTTGTTTTTACAAATGCCATTTATTCATACTTTTCCTTTACCTTTAAAACTGAAACATAAAGAACTTGCTCTGAAGCAAGGAGTAGCTACCTACATGTGCTTTAGTGTGCCTAGTGTGTTACTCATGCAGGTCTTTAAGCACGCACATAGAGCTATGATTAACAAGGTGCTGCACCAATCTACTCAACTACAGAAGATGCATCTCCCTTTTATATTGTGCACGGGGAGCATCCCTGAACTTGAAAGAGAATGGGGCCAGCTCCTGATTCCAGAAGCTATGTGTGCATACTGTGTGTGTATGATGATCACTGGCTCAAGCCAAAGTATTATTGCTTTCTATGTGCATACATGAGAGCCAGTGCGGTGCAGTGGACAAAGTGTCTGAATAGGACCCAAGAGACCTGGTTCAAATCTCTGTTTGACCATGGGAACTCACTGAGACTGGTCATGATTCTAACCATTCCTTGAACATCTCACATACCTTAAAAACTCTAGTGGGGTGGCCATAAGTTGGAAGGGACAAGACGGCACATAAGGATATGTGGATATGTGTTTGGGTTTTTTTTTTTTTTGCATTTTCTACTACTTGTTGAGGCTAATTACTTGTGGCACTGAAAATGGGTGACAATGGTGATGGCTGCATGGTATGGAGATGACAGTGTCTCTCTTTCATTTTAAGCTACACTGCAATCATTACATTAAGCTTTTTGTTTCTCTGTGAGGCTTACAAAAATGGAAATTAGGTTACAATCCTATACACACGTCTCTGGTAATAACTCCTATTGAATCTGGTGGGGCTCACTTCTGGGTGGGCATGTATAGGACTGCACTGCCACCTCCCGTATCTCCCTTTTAAATCTGGAGGACTGGCATGATCTCTCACAGAAGAACAGGGGAAAAAACCACAAAAAAACCCCCTGATACCAGCAAACCAACCACTGGAAGATAGTGATGACACACTGGAAAAGAACATATAATAAATGTCAGCAATGTCATTTTAAATGTTTTTAAGACAAGCAACATTTGTTTACCAATGAATATATTGCTTTGTATCCACTGTTACTACAACTCTCAATTTGTAAAAAGTTATATATACCATACATAGTCAAAATCAAGTCCAAATAGACAAACATTCTTAAGCCACTTTTAATAGTGAATGAAGTGAAATGGATATTTATATGGGATATGCTCTTTTTAAGCTTATGTCCTCCAAACATCAGTTGTGCAATGGCTTTCAGACACAAAGTAAAATGTAACACTCTTCAAGGAGTGCCACTTACTCCACTTGTCTCATTCTGTGTCTGCGCGGGATTAGCCTTTGGCTCCATGTCTTGCCGTTTTTGGTTCTGCTTAAGTTGGTTTAAAGATGGTTTTGCCTGTACAGCTCCCACAGTTTTGCTTGTCCATTGATCCACCAGTTTGTGGAGATCGTCTGTGAAAGTTCCTTTCTTATTGTTACTGTTGTTGGCTTGTACTTGAACCTGTAGTGTTGTTTGTGGAAGAGGGTCCGGATATGCTACAAGACTGTTTGTTGAGGATCCTAAGATCACAGAAAAATATGAGTCAGCTGTGCACATCGGCAATACCACATTTATTCACCTCCTGTTACATTCATACCATTTCACATTTCCAAAACCACAACTATCTGTTTTCCATTCAGCTGCTCCTTCAGAAGAACATTTTTGCTTCAAAAATAGTCTAAGAAGTCAAATGCATTCCAATTTCTAGGAAAAATTCACAAGACTGCATTGGAAATGCACTGCTCCCATATAGAGAAAATATCAGATGTGCGTCTATATGAATGCACTGGAATTTAGCTAAAACCAAACCGAAACAGAAAAGCAAAGATAGAAAACCACAAGATGAAACAGATCTCAGGGACATATTATTTGTTCTATTATTTGTTCTTTGCACTGGTTTCTATATTGACTCAGGATGCATACCATTTGGGTTAAGGTATACTGTCCTACACAGTTAGACCTGGGAAAATATACTCTGAAGTAATGAAGACTGACTAGTTATGCATAGGATTGTGCCTTTCATTTTCTGGATTTTGAATACTGGATTTGGGATTTCAAGATTTCTCATCTAATACTATCATGTGAATCAACCTGAACACGGGGAGTTTAATTTTGTCTAAGTGCAATTTAGGGTGCTGAAGTTACGTTATTACTGTGTAGAAGTCTGATTCTTCATAATAATAACTGTGTGAGCTCAAGACAATTCTGACTTACAGGGATCCTTTCTGGAGTTTTCCAGGTGGAAGATACTCAGAAGCGGTTTACCATTTCCTTCTTCTGGGGGGCCATTTCTGGGACTGTGCGGGTTGTCCAGGATTATACAGGCTGACACTACTTCTGCGAAGCTCAATGTTGAATCACAGTCCTAACCTCTGGCTCCACAGCCAAATAACCAACTCACTGAGCTATCCAGCCATCATAATAAAGCCTAAATGAATCAAGGTGAACACATCAGTGTAACCATGAAAACCTGCTCCGCAGAAATCCCATTCTCAGCCTTTATACTCTCACAAATGTGAAATAAAAGATTTCATACAACAATTTTGGAAGAAAAAGGAATTACAGCCACCACCAGGAGTAATGAATTAAATGGCCATGACTTGGATCATTGGTGAAATAATGTTTGGATGCATCCAGTCTATGGTTATTATGGGAATATTAATTACAGTATTCTAAGTTGGATGGCTAATGCTGAAATAATTATTTCCAGCATTCTATAGTCAAAGTGATGAAATCAATACTTAACATAGATTGAAATATAGCAATATGAATCTATTGCTCAATATGAAGTGAAGTCTTTTTTTTACAAAATGTTTGAAAACTATTTTCTAAGACTGAAATTTGAAGCAAAAAAGTTCAAAGCTGTAGTGAAATTACATTTAGCCAGTGTACAAAATCATAATTTCAAAGATAATGATGCGCACTGTGAATACATATATGAGTGATTCTTCTCTGTTCACTCACACCTTCATTTTGAAACCTATCATGTACCCAACGTGTGTGGATTCTTACGCTCCTTAAAGAAACAACAGAAAAACCCAGTGAAACAGTAAGTGTTGTTTTCTCCACCCACCCCCATTAAACCTCAACAACTATTCAGTACTACACACATCTCAACAGGTGTGAGGAAGTGTTAAGCTGTATTAGCCAATCAGTAGCAAAACAGCACTGTAAGGAAGCAGTGTCAATTAAAATATTAGGTAAGCTGACAAATCAGCTTTGTCTCATAAACACACACGGACATACTGAAATTACAATGATCTTGCAACAGGCATGCATCCAAAAGGCAGCACCATCATGCAAAGCTACCAAAAAGATACCTGCTCTTTAATTCATATGCAGCCTACTTTAAATGCCAGAACTAATGCAGTGTCTCCTGTTTAAACAAACCACTACATTACATTTAAATAAAGCAGCCCATGCTCAGAAAGAAACACCGAAAAGCCAAAAAACAAAAGAGAGAGGGATAGTTACTACTACTGTGATCTTTGCCTAGACATAGTCGTTTCAAGGTGGACCCTACAAGGTAAAATGATACAAGACATACAGAGTTAGGCAAGACTAAAAAAGGGGGAAATAAAAAAAAGATCTGATGGAAAATCTTCTGCATTTTTAAACAATGAAAAAGTAATCATTATGCAAGAAGGAACAGACAGAAAGTCAGCAGTTCAGAGTGAAAATTAGAAATAATTGGGCAGCTCAAAACCTAAAGAAATTTTCTTCAATAATAATAAATGTTGTCTGGGACCTTCCGTGTTTAATAAATGTGAAGATTCATTTGTAAAAATCAACACTGGTTTTAATTTCCATTCTATTTGTGCTGCAAACTATGTCTTCATCTGGCAAGTCAATCAGTGGTACAAATAATGTAAAAAACAGGCAAAAACCAGATTGACTGAGGAAGTTATCACATATACTGTGTATTACAACTGAAGACTGAAGACTTTAATCTCCATAATATCTTTAGAATTCATATAGATAGTGATAGCTCAACAGAACATGGGCTCTAGGGGTATTTCAACTCTCTTAACAGATTGCTACCTAGTAAGATATTAGAAAATTAATTAAGTGATACACTTCTCATATACCATAATATATTAAATACTGGCTGAAGTCTTCTTGCTTTGTTACACAGGTGGAAGACAAAAGGCATAACGTCCACTCACTTCTAGCCAGCAATTAAGGAGTTGCTGCTGCAATTCTTGGGTATGTGTGTGCTGGCTTAGTACGCACTCGAGAATCCCATTAGGAACTCATTAATTGCCAGTTGGAAGTGAATCAACGTTACATCTTTTGCCTTCCGCCTATGTAACAAAGCAACAAGATTTCAGCCTCTAACTCTTTCAAGAAAGGACATATGTGAACTATACTATCTTATTTTTTTTAAAAAAATCAGTTTTGACCAAAATATGTCAAATAGAATATTTATTGGTTGTTTTAGGTTTTTCAGGCTGTTTGGCCGTGTTCTGAAGGATTTTTCTTCCTAACATTCGCCAGTTTCTGTGGACGGCATCTTCAGAGGACTGAGTTAGACAGAGTTGTAGCTCCTGTCCTCTGAAGATGCCAGCCACAGAGACTGGCAAAAAGTTAATGAAGAAAAATCTTCATAACAGGGCCAAACAGCCCCCAAAAAACCCTACAACCACCATTGGGTCATGGCTGTGCAAGCCTTCGAGGAGCATATTTGTTATTCTTCATATCTGCATAACATCAGAATATGGCAAGCCTTGAAAGTTAAAAAAATATAATTAAAACTACCATGATGCTATTCACTAGCATGAGTTTAAGTCTTACTATTCTTGCTGATCCCTCAGGATGATGAACAGCCCTACCTACAAAGAGCCTCGTGGCGCAGTGGTTAAAACGCTGTACTGCAGCTAAAACTGTGCTCACGACCTGGGGTTCAAATCCCAGGTAGCCGGCTCAAGGTTGACTCAGCCTTCCATCCTTCCGAGGTCGGTAAAATGAGTACCCAGCTTGCTGGGGGGGGCAATGTGTAGCCTTTATAATTAAAATTGTAAACCGCCCGGAGAGTGCTTGTAGCGCTATGGGGCGGTATATAAATCCAATAAATAAATAAATAAATAAATACCTTGCTTCACTATGCCTCACCCTCTCAAAAAGTAGGGAGAGGCATTTAATGAATGTTTCCCTTGGCAATATTAACATTTAATCAGCATTTTGTTAAACATCATGAAGCAGTTCAAGCAAATGGGAACAGTGGACTCCATGTGCTGGTGCATACAAATAAGACATTTTGTTTAGTGCCTGAAAAATAAACCCAGGCTACAGATTACTATATATCTGTTGATATGGCACATAAAATAGCATTGAAATGTTCCAGGAATATAAACAGTATCATCAATAATAAAACAGCAAAGTATTAAGAAGTAGTGTAAAATATCAGAGTCCAAAGAATTTCCATATTATGGCCAGGAATAAGGACTTGCTAAGGTCAAGTGGGACTTAAGTCACACAGGTGACTCAACTCAGGTTTTTTATAATGACTCAGATTCAACTTGTGACTTGGAAACACCTCCCCCCTTTTCTCTGGGGGAAAAAAGCTTGTTTTTAATAGGGACTTGGGACTCGGTATCAAAGACCCAGACTTGGTACCAAAGACTTGGATTTGCCAACATTCCTGATTATGGTCCTAGTTAGAGGCGATCTCCACCCTTCCACAATCCATCTCCGGGAAAAGGGAGGTTTTCATAATCATGTGATGGATTTATCACATCAAAATAACTACAACAGAAACTGGGCTAGCCGTTAACTTCTTCTAGAAGTGATGGGGACTTTCTGGGAAGTACCACCTGAACAGTCTGATTATGACTGGGACTTTCTAAAACATGGCCCTTTCAGACATGGGTTCAAGTAAATAATAGGATAATAGTTTTACTCATTGAAGGCATACGTGTGTGTGTGTGTGTGTGTGTGTGTGTGTGTGTGTGAGAGAGAGAGAGAGAGAGAGAGAGAGAGAGAGAGAGAGAGAGAGACTACTTATTAGCCTCCCTTAGACAAGATAAAAATTATTCTTGCCTATACATCAACTCAGTTGAGAGATAGCTGCATGTTACTACAATCTAGTTATGTGCTGTCAAGTTGCCTCCATTCATGGGGTGACCCTATGAATGAGCCTTCTCCTCAACAGCCCTACTCAGCTCTTGTAAACACAAGCTGGTGCCTCCCTTAATGGGGTCAATCCATCTCATATTTGATCTTCCTCTTTTCCTGCTGCCTTCCACTTTTCCCAGCATTACTCTGTTTTACCGAGAATCTTGGCTCCTCATCATGTGCCCAAATTAGAACAGCCTCAGGTTCATCATTTTTGCCTTCAGAGAAAGTTCAGGCTTGATTTGATCTAGAACCTACTCATTTGTCTTTCTAGCAGTTCAGTGTATCCACAAAACTCTTCTACAGCACTTTAATTCAAAATAATTATTTTTTCCCCGTCAGCTTTCTTTACTGTCCGGCTCTCAAACCCATACATAAAGAACAGGAATACCACATTGTGGATGATCTTGTTCTTGGTCTCCAGTGGCACATCCTCTTAAACTTGGTGATCTTTTCTAATTTCTTTCATTGTTGCCCTTCTGAGTCTCAGCTTTCTTCTGTGTGTGTGTGTGTGTGGTTAAGAAGGGAGTGGTGAACCATTACTGAGTATTCTTTAACTAGAAAACCCAGGAAAGGTTAGCCACAAGTCTGAATCAACATTCAGGTTGTGTAGTTCTTCTGTAGTCATGATTTTTGTCTTCTTAATGTTCAGCTGCAGTCCTGCTTTGGCACTTTCACTAAGTCATTTCAACTCATTGCTGCTTCTGCCAATAAGATGGTATCACCTGCATATCTTAAATTACTAATGTTTCTTCCCCCAATTTTCACTTTTCCTTCATCTTAATATAGTCTGGCTTTCTGCATGATATGTTCTGTGTACAGAGTGAACAGATAAGGGGATTGCACCCTTGTTTGACACCTTCACCTATTAAAAACCATTCTGTCTCCCTATATTCTTCCTAACAATCACTTCTTGTCCCCAGTACAGATTACACATCAGGACAATCATCAGGTATCACTGAGACACATTCATTTCTTTCAAAACAACCCAAGGTTTCTTATGAAACACACACACTTAGGGCTTTGCTGTTATCTATAACATATAGACTGGCCTTCTGAAATTTTCTGATGTGTTCCAAGAAGCAGTCAATATTTGCAATATGATCTCAAGTGCCTTTTTCAAATCCAGCTGGAACATCACACATTTCTTGCTTCATATACAGTAAAAGTTACTAAACGTCTTGGTATCTCCTTTTTTGGGGATTGGAATATATATTGCATGTTTCCAGTCTGTGGACCATTGTTTTGTTTGACGTATTTGTTGGCATATTCTTGTTAGGATTTTGACAGATTCTTTCTTTGTGGCTTGAAATAATTCTATTGGTATTCCATCTATCCCTGATGATTTACTTCTTCCCAGTACTTTCAAATTAGTTTCACTTCACTTTCTAGAACTGCAGATTCTTCATCATAGGATTCCTCTTAAAAGGAGTATGTTATCCTTTTATCTCTTCTACACAGGGGAACTGCCTCTGGACAGCAGAACATGGCATAAGATTCTGTAAGATTTCATGAGATGGATTTCACAATATCTAATCCCTTTCCCACAAAGAATGGGATAAGATAATTGTTTTTTATTTAAAAGCTTAAATTCTCTGTTGTCTGATGTTGCACCTAAGAAGAAACATAGCCTGAAGCAAGATGACTTGCTAATAATATGAGAAATATTGGGGGGGGGCAGTCTATGAAAAATGCTGCATTTACATTTTTCAAAGTATTTTAAAAATTATGTAATGATTATTTTTGCTCTTTTTTCAAACAATCAAGGTTTGCAGAGTGTTGTTGAAGGTTGGTCTATAAATCCCCAAAACAAATGTAATAAACATATCAAATACACACATGACCCACTGTGCTGGGTTAGGTATTATGATGATCATTTTACTCCCTTGTGTGATATATGCAACAAAATAAGGCTTTTATTTCTACACTAGAGGGCATGAAAATAAATTCTGAAATTAAAGTCTTGACAGCACGTCAGAATATATACATATACAATTCTGTGAAATACCATCTAACATTAGGCAAAAAATATTTATAGGTGGGAAAGTTTTTACATAATATATGTAACACACCAGCTCCCTCCCTGTTTTTCAAACCAGATTATTAAGGCATAATCAATTAATAAATCACCCAGGAGGTTATTAATAAGAACTGAAAAGTTCATACAAGTAATTAAATTAGAGTCTCTGTTGACTTTGGTCATAATGTGACAGATCTAAAGAGCTCAACAAGACTACTACTTAAAATAAAAAAAATTTGTGTATAACAATTATGTGAAAAAGCACTTTAGGCTACAGTAAAATGTAGTGTGACATCCAGATTGCTGGTAAGGATAAACTACATAAAATAGTCCAAAAAAGGTATCTCTAAATATTAAAACACTAGTGTTGGAAGTTTAATATAAATGCCTGCACAAAACTAACATGTACATCTGTCAGTCTTCAGCGTCCTTTTATAACCAATGGAATTTAGAAATAAGAAAGAGTTATTTGGAAAGCAAAGAGAATTTAGCATTTAGTCATCTTGTGCCTTTGATCAGTACCACCTTGATAATGACAAAAAATATGCATAGTTGATAATTCCAGTGGTAAGCTCTGGATACAAATGAGAATGAATACTGAATTAGCTGGATGTTTAGTGACAAAAAATCTTAGCCCTACATTTGCCATTACGTATAACTGTGGCCTTAATGACTTTATCTCAGAATATATGTTGTTGTACAAGAAAATCTATTTGTCCCATAATAAAGAAGACCTAACAAAATAAATAAATGCATAAATAAAGTTTCTTTGAGAGTTAGTTGAACTGCCAATTAACAGGATCATGTAAATAAGAAAACATCTATTTGAATTTAGTTGCAATTCTTCAGATTTAACCTAGACTTTATACCAGTGAAGTATAAACCACTCTACTGTAGAATCTGAAATTTTAACTATCCAAAATTTATTCTGTGCTTTGATGAACTGCTTGTTGACTTCATCTCTGAGGTCACATAAGGTCATAATAAAAATAAACTGAGTAAAATGCTCCAGCTAACTGAGATTACAGCAAAAGTTATATTGTGCATCATTCATAGCAAAGGAACCAGTTGCATTTAACAAAATTTACTTGAATAATCCAAAATATACAAGGTGGGGGCAAAAAAAAATTGCCTAGAAAAGATGATGTTAAAGACTAGCAGGAGCATTTCTCAGCATTTCCACATGCAAGGGGTAGGAAAAATAACAAATCACAAATAATAATAAAGTGGATATAAACAGTACTGTATATTGTTTGAATACAGCCCTTGTGCGGATGTTATACCCTTCAGTGACCTTCTAGATTTGTATCAGCTTGCTACATGCATCTCTTCATAGTCCAAACATGTGTGAAAGAGACCATTCATGTACAGAAGCTTGGGTTTCTTTTTGATATCGCTGGAATCAGGACAGCAGACAATTATAATTGCCACATTGTAAATTAAAAGTTACTTAAACGTAAAAAATTCACATAAAGATATGTCCAGGGTAAAATTTACTATGAGGCTATAGAATAAATTATGAGACCTTCCACACATGCTTTTGATACCCAGGCATGAGCCAAAAGCAGTGCACAAAAGCTTTCCATATGAACAAAAAGAAAGGGAAAAGAAAAATAAGTAGTGCCAATGGTGGTCAAATGAAAAAAAAAACAAAGAAAAAGAAATCAAAGGGACTGTCTAAAAAAAGGGGGACTTCCTGCCAAGACTATTATGTGTTTATATAAATATATATGTATACATATATAAATATATACATGAAAATGAGTTTTGAAAAAGGTGCTCAAAAGAAAGATGGGCTGTGATAAAATACAAAAGAACAAATACAAACAGATGGACAAAGACACAGGTCCACTGAGGAATCTGGTACGAGGTTTGCTACTAGATTTATAGGTCACTCTCTCAGACGTTTGGTGGAAAACCGTCCAGCCTGCAAATGAATATAAAGGGAAGAAAACAAAGACACTTATAAAGTACAGATAGCTGTGAACAGTTGTCACCATCAGTCATATCAGCTTTGTTAGTTTATCATCCACATCTCCATTTTAGCCTTGCCAAAGAGGAATAAGTTCATTGGCTATATGCAAAAGAGATGCAAAAACAACGGCAGAAGGGAATAGATACTTCATAGGATTAGTTTGGCAGGACATGCAGAACTGAGTATGTTGTTTTTAATAATCATTGCACTTTGCAACAGATCTTTGCAATTACTACTGTACTGTGATACACCTATTAAGCTATCGCTACTACTACTATATCAAGCTGTGTCTAGAATGCAACAGAACCACTAGTAAAGCCGGAAAACCATAAGAACTTTAAAGGTCATAGAAGCTTAACTATTCCCGAGTTACAGTTGTACGAGTCAATATGAAATAATGACTTATGAACAAAATTCTGCTTCGGTAGAAAAGGATTTGGACCTAAATGTATAAACCAAGAGAAAAAGTTTCAGTCTCCAAAGGGTTATTTCCCCAATTGTTACAAAAAAGGAGTAAAATTCCTTAACCATTCCTTAATAATATGACTTTTAAGGGATGCAGTACTGCCCTTTCTGTTCATACTCTGTCATTATAATATTGTTCAAAAAGCAAGATAGCAATTCAATGATCTACGACTTCCTTAATCAGTGAGGGCCATGTTAGAATGGCCTTTATCATCACAATGGCACACTTCCTGTTCAAATCACACATTGTTTCAACTACCTTACAAAACAGATTAGGTGGGGAGTCACTCACTCAACCTAGTAAACTGAGCAAGTATTTGAAACCACAACTCCCATCTGTAAATGTAGCATGTGTTCATTTTCTGTGCTGAAATAACTACGGATTTCAACTTACAACAATGGACATTCCTAAATATATAGAATCACCTTGGCCAGAATTTCCATGGGCATCACCTCCTTCTGTAGCTAATCCAGAACAGATGTCAGAGGACAAGGAAGCCTTGACAGAGCATGGCTGTTGTGTCTGAACTGACTTTCCAAGTATGGCTGATGTGGATGAAGTCAGTGCTGTAGCTTCAGTAAAACCAGTCTTAGCTTTGACATTTTCTTTAGCAAGAGTGTCTTTGCAGTCTGATACATTGCCTAAACAGGATACATGAAAAAATCACCATGTGCAAAGGAATAACAAAAAACACAACTATTAATTCATTATTGTAAAGAGCTTCTTGAAAAACTGGAAGCTTTACATATGAAATATAATCAGCTGTAAATAGCAAACCAACTCTTCAGCACTGGAAGCATGAATGCCATTATAACATGAAACCAGCAGTAAACCTAGCTTTCTAATGTATAGCTTAGTGTGCTCACAGAGATTCAGCTGTCAACTCCAGAAAAGGATCTCAAGATTCAGAGAATTAGCATTTGGTTTTGAGTAACAGACTTCTCACATTTGAATCTTGTGATGTAGGTCCACCAGTGTTGTGAAAATTACATAAGCAACAGTGACTGATTGACCCTAATTAAAGAGTTCATGCTTTGATTTCAGATTGTGCACAAACCATGCGCAATGGATTTTGATTTTGCTTTCCTCTCATGGAGCAACACAGCTGTATTTTTTAAAAAGAAAGGAGAACTTGCAGCCTGATTTTATTCAAGATTGTTCAGGAATAAGCAGAACTGAATTAAAAATTCAAGGGGGGGGTCTTACTATACATAGGATTAGAGACGTTAATCTACACACAGTCTGGGCATAATGCCCCGGACCATCCTAACAGATACTCATCTAATCCTCTCTTTAAAAATATCTAATAAAGAAGATACCATAAATTCCCTGGAAGACCTTGCTTCATTCCCCAACATTCTATGACTGAGTAACACTATAAGAAAGAAGAATAAGATAAAAGACAGAGATAAAACTACACTTCAGTTAGGCAGAAAGTAGAATTAAATGATCAAAAGAAATCTTTATTACTACAGTTGAACCTCTACTTAAGAACTTAATCCGTATTGGAATGGTGTTCTTAAGTTGAAACATTCTTAAGTCGAAGCAAAATTTCCCATAGGACTGCATTGAAAACCGATTAATCCGTTCCGGCTGTTTTTTGTTCTTATGTAGAGGCGCGTTTGTAAATTGAAGCATTCGTTCACATAGGAACGAATACAAAGCTGGTTAATCCGTCCTCTACCACCAGGGAGGAGAATATTTTTTAAAACCTAAGATGACCTAAGGTTTTTTTTCGTTCTTATCTGGAGCTCCGATCTCAAGTAGAAGCAAAACTTAGCGAACAGAGTTGTTCTTAAGTTGGATCGTTCTTAAGTAGGGACGTTCTTAAGTAGAGGTTCCACTGTACTAATCTGGGGATGGGTCGGGAGGGGGGGGGGTCAAGGAAATAATTCCAGAAAAAAACTGAGCAGGTAAAAGCAATTTCATGAAATGGAATATCCAAACATGTAGGTACTCAAGACAGGTCATGTAAACAAATCAGTCATCTTCTCTGTGTCTTCTAACCAAAATGTTGTTCTATCATTTAGATAGGAATTAGCAAAGAATGAGAATTTAGCGTACTGTATAATTAACACTCATTTCATTATTTTATTCTGTGGACAAAAAAAAAGTGCACCAAGGTACAGACAGTGAAGCTTTCCTGCACTCATGAACTTTCTGATAGCAGCTATCCTGGAGATTCAAGTAGCAGAAAGTTTAGGAAGGAGTTCCCTTATGCATAAAGAATTTATTCCCCCATGACCTTCAGAGGCAGCCATTCGGCAGCCATCTGCAGGCTGTGGTATCTTCCTAGTGATGGCCCCTTCCTTAGTTGGATGCATCAACTGTGACATGTTTTAGGTGCCTGTTAGACCCATCTTTTCACATTTTCTTCCTAAACTCATTGTGCTTCTGCTGTCATAGTTGAACATTGATTGTTCCATGTTTGTGTTTTCAAATTTGTACTTTAATATGTTTTAATGGTTTTTAATTTTTTTAATTTTTTTTTACCCTGTGGTTTACTTCAATGTGTCATTTGGGACAGGAAGTATCAGAAACTGCTTTTATAACAATAACTATCTGAAGTTGGAAGGCACTGTATGCATCCAACACATTCCTCACATTCAGATTTTATTTTTCATTTATTCTTTCTCTCATTCCCAATTATTCCCTGAAAAAAAAAAAAAGAGAGAGAGAGAATCTGCCACAGAAGTTTGAACACTCTGTGGAACAGCAGGAGAGGAAGTGTTGGAGGCCGGAAAAGGAATTAGTAGAGATTGCCTCCCTTCTTCCACAGGTGAGAATATTCTGAATGAAGCTTCGGGAAGGACCTGTTCCCAACAGGTGAAAGCTTGACTGAAAGCTGTGTCTGGAAAAATGCAGAATGGAAGATAGATAAAAGAGAAGAGGGTGACAAAAGCAACATCGTTCAGTATCACTTCTTTAATGTCGTGGTTTTACTGATTATCCAGTGACAAAAGCCACAGGCTTGTCAGTTGTGATCCTGCTGCACATGCTGTGCAAAACCTCTTATGACAATATGTTTTGGATGCAGAAATGAAAAAGAAAATCCTCACTGAAATGGAGGGAAAAGGCTACTACATTCTCCTTGCTAAAACTGAGAAGTTGCCTTCCCGATTCAGTGCTTAACCTCCACTCATAGAAGGGTAGAATCCAGTGTAATTTGGAGGGGATGATTGAGTGCACAATGTTAGTCAGTATATCAGGCTTTAGTGGCCTTAAAGTGTGATTGCATGGGGCTATTCCATCTTATGTCTAATTATGTCCAAGGTTCCTTGGACAACTTATTACTTGTGCTCAGATAACAGTTTGATGATAGTGTGTGGTTTTTATCCAGGTCATCGCTGCATGGATCATGTCAGAGAGATATTACTTTTAAATCCATGTCTTTTCACTTCACATGGTAGACTTGTATGTTGTGGCAGGGAGAGAGGAATGTTAGGTTTGTTTCCATGAGTTCTCCTTTTCTTCTAAAATATATTCTGTCCCATTTCCCCAAAAGAAGATTAAAAAAACTGAACCGGTGAATGAAGATGCTAGCAGGCCATGTGGGAGTGGCCAAATTAAATTGGTTTGGAATATGTAGCGGTGTCCCTTTTTTTGGACTATGGGCCTAACAAGAACATGAATAGCAGCCCTTTCTTCTAAGGGCACACAATAGGTGGTAGGTGACATGTACTATTGTAGTCATGTACACATATACTGTGCTCATGTACACAGACAGAAAGTAAACTGCTTGCATCTTAAAACAAGGCTTTAAAAGGTATTTCAGTATGGTGTTACCATCGTGGTACTTTATGACAGCTTAATCAATAGAAAAATATGACGATACAACTGAATCCAACTTAAACTCTACCTTCTTTTTCCTTGACTAGACAATAAAATCTTTAACAACCTTCCTAAGACACTATTTTGAAGACCTAAATTGCTACAATAGGATTTACACCAATAATTTGCACCATGCAATATATATTTATCCATTTTCTAAGCATGTTCAGCAATATCTAGTGGGGGGGGGCACTCCTGCCTGGCCACCCTCCATCCCTGGCTGCATTAACCTCTGTGCATGGTTGATTAGAAGCCTCATGGGAAAAGCATTCTGTATCTCTGTGGGTTCTCAATGAGAACTAGGGTCAATGCTTACAGGGTGACAGAAGTGAGGAGAGAGGAGATGGGGCTTGTATGCGTCTCCTTCTCCGTGATAAGTACAAATACAATGTACAGTAATGCCTGAATAGAGTCTAAATGTCTCTCAGAAACCTGTGATAGCAAACAGATAGTAGCTATAAACACTCCAGTTTTATATCTATTGGACATACTTGTATTGGTTGTTGTTGTTTTGAGCTGCTGAACGATAGGGTTTACTAATTTCCCAGTTTTTAATTTGTTCTTGCTGGTTCTCCTTCGACGTCCACTTGGTGGGGCAGAATGAAGAAACCCAACATTTGGAGGTAAAGGTTTCCCCAGTCGAAAGTACAATGCTTCTATTTCTTTCTTCTGCTGACTCTGAAGGTCAGCTATTTCTCTCATATGTCTAAAGAATGAAAACAAAAACAAAATGTTACATGTCAAAATTGAGTAATGCTTCAATTAAAAGATCTATTTGTAAGCATATACTTTATACAATTAAAAGATAAATTTAATTATTTGATAATAATTCTTCCCCACCCCACTATGCATAGCACGAACTACTCCAAGTTTTGACATAAACTTTGAAACTGTGCTGATTGTAACTATCTGTGAACAAAAAAAGAGAGTCTGAACAGACTAGAGGGGTGTAAGGAGAGATACCCAGGAGAAGACTAAAGTTGTCAAACCAAAAATTTATTAAACAGAGTTTTTGCCAAAGGAGTAGAAAAATGAGGAATCATGTGTCACCTTAAAGGATAACAAACTCAAGGAACATACCGTATTTTTCGCACCATAAGATGCACTTTTTCCCCACAAAATGGGGGTGGAAAGTCTGTGCGTCTTATGGAGCGAAGAAAACAGATTATGTTTTCCTGTTCTCTTCCCCTAAAAAATTAGTGCGTCTTATGGAAAGGTGCGTCTTATGGAGCGAAAAATACGGTAATTACTAGACTCTTGGTTTGACAGGAACAAGACCTTTGGTGATTTTTTTTTTAATTGGCAGTTTTGAGATAGGAAGAGAAAGTCATGGAGTTAAAGAAGTTGGAGAAAAGGATCTTTTGAATGCTTTAAATTTGAAACATTATCAGAAATCCCATATTTTAAAATATGATTTAGTATAACTGGTATAACAAATTATCAGTGGATTCCCTTGGAGGACAGTTTGTCTATATGGAATTAAAACAATTGAAGATCTAACACGTTATTTACTTGTCTGCCCAATTTATAAAGACTCAAGAGCAATTTTGTTTAAAAAGTTAGGGCTCCCATCTAATAGATCTGGTGCATATCTGATAAATTTGCTGTTGGGGGATAATGTACCATATATTTCTGGAAAAGTAGCCTGATTCGCTTTTAGAGCAATGGTTTTAAGGAGGAAGTTTTGTAGTGATAATAATCAGGTTTTACTAGTTGACTGAATTGTGTCCATGAGAATGTTGATTTTAGATGGCTTTTAGTTGAATAATGTATTTGGTTGTTTTATATTATTTGAACTTCTTTTGTAATGGCTATGTTTACACAAAAAATTGTCTATACTATAAAATGTTGGGGGAGGGAAGACCACTGGGATTAAAAAAGAGGACACTTCAGGAGTTCAAAGGTACAGTGGTAGGAGGGAAAACTGGAACTTTGGCTTTTTCAGGAATTGGGGAAACAAAGGGATGTTTGAATGCAGAAGGGAAGGAGCCAAAGGAAAGACAGGTTGAAAACACAGTGGAGACCAGAAATAAGGGTGACAGACAAATAACAGGATCAAGACAGGTAGAATCAAGACAATAAATGCAATTGGGAGGGGACAACAGAATAGTAGATTTAGCCTGGGAAATTCTGGGAAAGAGGAAAGATTTGAGGAATGAGAAGTGATGCTTAAAGGAATAAACAGGGTGTCCTGGCAATGGAAAGAAATATATCATTTATATTAGAGATACAGATAGTTGGAGAGGGGTACCCAATGTGGCGTAGTGAACAGAGTGACAGACTAGGACACTGGAGACCATGGTTTGAATCCCCCCTTACTTGGTCACAGAAACTGGGGGAGTGGGACTGGTAAAGCCATTTCTTCAATATCTCACTTCCCTTGAAAGCCCCATTAGGGTCGCTGTAAGATGGTTCTGATTTGATATTGCATAACTAACTAGACAGAATGACATATCTTCAATAAATTGTAGTTCTATTACATGTATTGGGGATTATGTGAATCTGAAAGATTGTAATTCATTAATGTAAACCAGTGGTTCTTAACCCTTTTGACTATTACATGTATTGGGGATTATGTGAATCTGAAAGATCTTGTAATTCATTAATGTAAACTAAATTATTACTGTGAACATTTGTTTAGTTGCATGGGAATACACAAGGAGTACTTAATTATCTAAAACACTGAATCAGGATGATCTGTCTTCCTTATGTCAGAGTATTTGTAATAATCCTAGATCTCACTGGGGGAGAAAGCTACATCTGGACTTACCACGTCAGACTACATACAGTTACTGATATAATTATTATTTTTTCCTTATATAAAAACCTTTCACTGCAAATCAAAAGAGCAACAACTAAATGCAAGGGAGGGGAGAGGAATCATTTAATCATATGACCTGTCCATGCCCGACCTGTCCATGCCCTTCGGTCTGAAATGGGACAATTCAGATACAAGTCTATCACCTGAAGTGGGAATGAAGACACAGCAAGGCTATTCATATACATGGGATATTTAGATGCCCCCAACCCGTGACAAATGTACACATAGAAACAGAAAACTAATAAATGCTGTAATACAGCACATTCCCACATGCCTTCACATTTGGAAGAATATTAAACATACTTTTCTCTCAAATTCTGCAGTTCTTTTTTCATGTCTGCATCTTCAAACTCCGAATCATTGTCACTGCTCACATATGATGAGTGTGAGTGGAAAGATGATACGTTAATAGTTGGGATTTTAGATCCATGGCCATTGGCGGAATCGAGATCTTGGGAACTTGATTTTCCACTCTTTTGAAGAAAACATGAGTTTTTCTTATTGTGGTCATTTCCTGCACTACCACTCAGAGGTAACAAGGGGGCAGCAGCTGGCTTTCTTTGGAGAGAGTCATCTCCAGTGTCACTGGAATCATGACCACAAAGGACATCAATAGAGGATGCTGTCTGCACACGCCGCATTGATGTTTTTGTTTCAGGGCTAGAAGGCTGATCGTCCAGGTAGACATCTGGTGGTGCAGAGTACCTCAAGGACTGCACAGGAGGTAAAGACAACTCATCCTGTGTGCTGACCACAGAAAACCTTCCAATCGTTTTTGCTGGTGTGCTGTTATCTATTTCAGCTTGTTTCGTGCTAACACTTGAGTCAACAGAGTCACTTTTTTGAGATTTACTTTTCTTTTCATGTGGTGGTGTAACGTTTTCTCTTTCACTTCTTTTAGAAGCGTCTTTCTGATCAACTACATTTGATGATGAAAGTGCATCCTGAAAGAACAAGTATGAAAATGGTCCAGTTGGACAGTATGTCACCAGCCACAAAACACTTCCATTTAAAGGAACAAGCAGTCCCCTTCATTAGTCCCAAGGCAGTAGAAATATGTAAAAATCCGAACAGTACAGGAGTAAACTATAAGTTCACAATACCTGTGGGAATCCTGACGGTATGGCAACAGAAGCTGAAGTAATGGTTGTAGCTTGACCTGTTTAATACATTGGAAACAAACAAACAAACAAACAAGATCCACATATCTGGATAGGTAGATTTCAGAACAACACAGATGTTACTATAATGAATATTCATTTAATGGAATCACAGATGGATTCCTTACAAGGCCATAGCCCTGATGTCTATGGGACACAGCAATATACAGGATTGTAACTCAGACCTACAAGGATTAAATGCAAATTACTATGGCAGATGTAAATCCTTAAATCATCACAATATACTGTACATGCTGTGAATATTCAGTGCAAAGAGCTCAACTATTTCACACACCATATGTCTGTGGGATTCAAAGAAAAACATTAAGAAAGCTTGAAGAAGAACATTTCAATTAGCAATAATTACACCCTGGATTAGACAACTGCTGCTGACAAAAATCCATATATGGACATGTATTCTACTAATGCCAAGTGTAAGCATTTTTTTTAAAACATAGGATCAGATTATATTCTTTTTTTCTCTTTAATCTTTTTTTTATCAGAGTATCATTTTTTAAATGGCCTTAAAGAAAAGAAAAAGTTAGTAGTTTAGGACTTTACCCAATTTTTTTCTTATTAATCACACTACTCACATTCCCACATTTTGACCCCTAGGAGAGATCCCAGTTTTACCTCCCTTTATCAAACTATTCATCTCTCCTTTTTGATCCTTAAGAAGGATCCTGGCTAGTCCGGTTATATATCCCTAACCTGACAAGCTTCAAGCTGTGATTGGCATTCATGTATGAGCACCTCATTTGTATATAATTTATGATGATGATGATTTAAAAAATTAGGCACAATGAAAAATTATAAAAACATTGACTGGTATTATAAAAAAATAAGGCACAGTGAAAAATTATAAAAACATTGACTGGTATAATAGGTACAGGTTTTAGCCAAAAACCTAAGTATCTGTTAAATATCGGCTCAGTATGTATGCTGTTCCTAATATTCTTGTTTTTTGTAGTTCTGATGATGTGATTTCTGAGATCTGCAGCTGCTTATAATACTGTGTGAAATTTCTTGATATTGTTCCCAAAGGCCCAATGACTACAGGGACCACTAATGTGTGTTTCTTCCAAAGGCAATATGTTTCAATTGCCAGATCTCTGCACTTTGTTAGTTTTTCCAATTCTTTATTTTCAACTCTGGCATTCCCTGGAATTGCGTAAGTGATCCACACATTTCTTCGTTCTATTACTGCTATGACTGATGTGTTACGTTCAAGGTGTCTATCAGTTTGGATCTGGAAAACCCACTAACAACAACAACAACAACAACAACAGTAGTAGTAGTAGTAGCAGCAGTAGCAGTAGCAGTAGTAGTAGTAGTTGTTGTTGTTGTAGTTGTTGTTGTCATATTGCATTTGTACTCCTCCTTTCCACTAAAATATAGTACTCAAAGCAGCTTATAAACTTCTTAAAACAATGAAAACAGCCTTTGTGCATCCATGCATACACATATGCACAACACAAAATCCAGCCTGTGTAAACTTGAATCACATGCTTAATTCCAAGATTATGAATTAAAACTTTTAGCAATGTGCCCTGGATTTTTAGATGAAGGATCTATGCAAAGAAGATACTATGTATGGCCTGGAAGAGGGAGAGGTATTTGTGGTTGGTGTGGCTATAGCACACAACTGTTCAGCTGAAATGGGGACAGAACTGACACATCTAAAGACCACACAGAGTCTTTGTCGTTTCTCATTCTTTGCCAAATTACTGTCAGCATTCCGTATGCTACTCTGTTTTCCTGAAAATAAGACCTAACCTGAAAATAATCCGTAGTATGATTTTTCAGGATGCTCATAATATAAGCTCTACCCCAAAATAAGCCCTAGTTAAGTGAAGCCCCCCCTCCACCATTGGGCAGCAACCAGAAGAAGATGACATGGCCGTATTTGAATAAATGCACATTGTTGTACATGAAAAAAATAAAACATCCCCTGATAGTAAGCCCTAATGCATTTTGAAGCAAAAATTAATATAAGACCATGTCTTATTTTTGGGGAACATGGTATTATAAATGGACCTGTTTCAAATGATAAGGAACAACATTTTCATTCTCTCTTTTTTCTACTGAAGCACTCAAACTGATGCAGAGTTACACAAGCCACAGTTGGCCATAGAGAAGAGTAATTATAAGGGATCAAGGGATGACATGAATGCATATCATGTAATATGGCAACTGGAAAGCCAAATCAGATAACCGTATAAAGACTTATCAGAACCTGCCCATACATTTGTAAATGTTTTTCTTGCTGTAATAGATATTTTTACATTTAGTAGCACTTGCCTTTTTCTTGCCTTCTTCTAAAACATGTATAACTATATATTAATACAATTATTTCAAAGAATCATTACAATTATTTTTTTCTAAAACAATTATTTACAAGAATTCTAGAAAGTTTATCTAACAAATAAACCATATTTCTTCTCATATGACAGTATTTGGCCTGTAGAAAAATTAGTGAGATGGAGTTTTTTTCTACTCAGAAAAGCAGATGGTGTTGATTATAAGAAGGGACTGTCCAAGGAAGATCTAAAGAGAAGCTAAGCGAAAAGCACAGGCTGAGGAATCTCCCACTATGAAGGCAGAACTACTCCTGTCTATTTACAAACTGCCGTTTCTTGAAAACCGAAGTGGCAGCAGATAGTTGAGAACAGTCACGTGTCAAGTGGGAAGTTAAATCACACCCCAGAACAATGCCCCTGTAGGTATTCTTCTAACTTAATTTTAATATATAATTCAACAAGGCTGTTGGGCTTGGCTAAAATGGCAGTAGATTAACTTTTAGTTACTTTAGTTACCAAGCATTATTTTGCTCTCTGTTCTAGATGCTTGGCATAAAATGTCCTTCAAAATCTAGCAGATTTTCATGACGAGATATTAAAAATCATTGAAAGGACACATGACACTTTGCAAGAGCACCCAAAATGGATGTTTATGAAAAAGCTATTACCGCATTTTTCGCACCATAAGATGCACTTTTTCCCCACAAAACAGGGGGGTGGAAAGTCTTATGGAGCGAAGAAAACAGATTATATTTTCCTGTTTTCTTCTCCTAAAAAATTGGTGCGTCTTATGGAAAGGTGCGTCTTATGGAGCGAAAAATACGGGTAATTGCTTTCTTTTTTGTGGGGAAGAAAGGGAAGGCTGCACAAGTATAGTTGAAAATGTACAGTGTGGAAATGTAATCTGTTTTAACAAAAATTAATACTGGACTTTGTTGCTTCTTCTCGGAATTAAAACCGCCATGGGAAAACTGAGGCCCATGGGCCACATGTAGCTTTGAGAGCCCCAAATGTACCTTTAGAACCCTAAATTGCTGTACTCCTCATGAAAATACATTTTAATAACAAATTTTAAAACCATATGTTTTCCTGGAAAAAACTTCTTTTTCCCTTTAGGAAAAATTCTGCCGTGAGTTAGCACCCAAGCAATTCCCACACCACCATTTTTTGAAAAATAAAGTAAAATTGTCGTTTGATGGCATCAGGAAGCTTCTTAAATATTATTTTTTTTAAAGAAAAAAATATACAAAGGTGTGGCCCTCCACAATCCAGGGATATATGGGTGTGGCCTCTAGATTTCTGAAGGTTGCCCACCCTGATTAAGACTGTTGACAATTCTACTTCCCTCAATAACAACCAGTATATGAAATGTAATACTTGGTTCAGACAATGGGTCTCCCTATAGTTTCAGACTTTATATGACATGGAACAAGACTACACTTTCCCACCATGTGTGTACCACATTTGAATAGCATGCATGCAAATCACTAAATGCACATTAACTCACATTATACTGCAATTATTTCCCACATGGCTGTGCCATAGTCTACATCATTTGTTAGCATTATGTTCAAATTTATCATTGTAATTTTCCATACATAAATAATTACTGTAGTTACAGAAGTAAAAAAAAAGCAAGACATTTAAACTTCCACTGGAGCTGCCTTGTTCTCTACCAAAGCTGTACTGCCAACCACATGTATAAGCATGTATATGATAACATATAAAAAAACTACCCACAATTAGTATACATTCACCATGTTCGCTGATCCAAAGCTTATCTATGAAAGAAAAATAAATACAATACTAAAGTTGTTGCACAGTTTGCTACCTGCTCTGCTTGTTGACCCATGGCTTATTTCTGAAGGCTGGATGCTGGCAGAAGTAACATCTGACGTCTCCACCTTTAAGCAAAAGGATCAAAGCATAAATGAGCTTCTCAAAGCCTAAGCACAAAGTTTGACCTGTCTAACAATATGCAGAACTTCTCAAGCAGATATTTCTATTCTGTCCAAGTCTATCTTTCATTTCCAGTCTCTGTAACGTTTCCCAACAAGTTAACAAATCTTGAACAGTTACAGTCTGCTATTTTAGATATAAGCATTCCCTAATCCTCTAGCCGCCTAGAGTGGTCCTGACCCGACCAGATAGGTGGGATACAAATGAAATAAATAAATAAATATTAAATATTGAGGTGTATATTAAAATTGTCAACAAATTCTGAAATTTCATTCTGAAAATTCTGAAAATTCATTCTAATTCAGAGTAGAGGGTTTAAGCAATAACCTCACTCCACATTTTTGACTCATTGTTGATGTAAATTTGAGAAAATACTGAGCATTTTATGTGGCTGTAGTGCCCAAAAGGTGTCACACCGAACTACTGTTTATTGTCACCCATACTAATGAAAAGTAGTCATTGCAATATCCCCCCTTGGAAGCAAAGCAAAGTGTGCTGCTTATATACTGCCCCATAGTGCTTCAAACACTCTCTGGGTGGTTTACAAGTTAATTATGCAGGCTACACATTACCTCCCCAGCAAGCAGGGTACTCATTTTACCGACCTCAGAAGGATAGAAGGCTGAATCAACCCTGAGCCGGCTACCTGGAATTGAACCCCAGGTCGTGAGCACAGTTTTGACTGCAGTACAGCAGTTTAAGCACTGCGCCACGAGGCTCTTTGGAACCTCAAAAACTCTCAAGAATTTTTTTTAAGGTATGAAGATTGATTTGGACTAAGTAGATAGCTTATCCTGAGCTTTTATGACCACTGTAATCAATTACTGGAATAATAAAGAAGGAATGGGAGTGGGTAGACAGAGACACTAGAGTGGCTGTCAAGGAAGGATTGCTAAACTAAACCACCCATATACTGATGCAACTATTCAGCAAACACCCACCTTCTCTGTGAAATCTGGTAGGTGCGTGAGCCAATTAAGCACTACTAAGTGGTGACACTCTAGTGCTCTATCATATATCTTTATGGAATATTGACATGATTTTTTATTTACTTTAATTGCCTGGGGAAAGTGCAAAGTCTTTTCACCCAAGAAGACTCATAAGTTGGTATTTTCATAGACCTTCCCACAAATCTCCATCAGTGTTTTCCCAACTGCTTTATCTGCCAACATCTTGGACACAGAAATCTGATGCACACAAGGTGGTCTTCACCATGAGACTGACTGGAACTTAGAAATATTGCTCTAAAAAAATCACAGAATATCCCAGACAGCATGGCTTCACAGAATGCCATAGCCAAAATGCGTTCAGACAAAAATGATTTCACAATAAACATGTTGGGATCTGGCAACCCAGATTCCAACATGTACTAGATTCTTCAAATAACTAAGCTGTGCAGTATAAGAAAAAAATTGTCTCTGTATGTGTGTGTGTGTGTGTGTAACAGTATAAGAAAAAAAAATCATGTATGTATGTGTGTGTGTGTGTGTATACATTCATACACACACACACACACACATATATATATACACACACACACACACACATATATATATACACACACACACACACACATATATACATATATATATCAGCATAAGAAGTACTAGTACACACACACACTTATACTAATATATATTAATATAAGAAGTACTAGTGTGTGTGTATGTATGTATACACACACACACACACATATTAATATATATTAGTATAAGAAGTACCAGTATAAGAAAAAACCCAGTATTTTAGAACAGTCTCGCAGTGGGATTCTTGGCTCGGTTTTTGTCCCTTCAATTCCTCTTTCGGTAAAATAAAGAGCAGATACTGCATGTGTACCCTCCCTTCCCTAGAATGCCTCATCACAGGAAGAAATTAACAAATGAATTAGGGAATCATGTCTTGAACAGAACATTAAAGCTTCCTAAACTTAGGATACAGAATAAAATAGAAAGGCAGAACCAGGGCTTGGAAGAGGTAATATGTCCAGGCTCTGGAGATCACACATATATATATCAGCATAAGAAGTACTAGTACACACACACACACTTAAACTAATATATATTAATACAAGAAGTACTAGTGTGTGTGTGTGTGTGTGTGTATGTATGTATACACACACACACACATATTAATATATATTAGTATAAGAAGTACCAGTATAAGAAAAAACCCAGTATTTTAGAACAGTCTCGCAGTGGGATTCTTGGCTCGGTTTTTGTCCCTTCAATTCCTCTTTCGGTAAAATAAAGAGCAGATACTGCATGTGTACCCTCCCTTCCCTAGAATGCCTCATCACAGGAAGAAATTAACAAATGAATTAGGGAATCATGTCTTGAACAGAACATTAAAGCTTCCTAAACTTAGGATACAGAATAAAACAGAAAGGCAGAACCAGGGCTTGGAAGAGGTAATATGTCCAGGCTCTGGAGATTGCGGAATCAAGAACATTACCCAGCCACATGCCCATGAAATCTTCAATGTACCTGGAGTGAAAGTAGAGGAAGACCTGCATGAAAGCCTGTTTTAATTTCACTTTTGACAAAATGCTGCATGCTACCTAATGAGCCTGGGTCCAAGCTATCTAAAAGACCGCATCTCATGCTATGAGCCTGTCCAGGTATTAAGACACTCAAAGGAGGCCATTCTCACAGGTGCACTTCTCTGTTGCTGCTCCCAGACCCTGGAACTCCCTCTCATGGGAAGGAGGCTGGCCACATCTTTGCTGTCCTTCTACAAACAGGCAAAGACTTTTCTCACTAGGCAGGCTTTTTATTAATGACCAGTGGTCATTTGTTTTTATTGTGCTCTATGTTTTAAATGTGTTTTAGTATGCATTTTATTTACTGTTTTAAATATAATACTAGTCCAATTCTTTTATAATATTGGTATAGCTACTGTGTTTAGCTTTTTAGTTATGTAACCTGTTTCAGATTCTTTTTAAGGAGAAAGGCAGGATAAAATATTTAACATAAAATAAAATTAGATAGATAGATAGATAGATAGATAGATAGATAGATAGATAGATAGATAGATAGATAGATAGATAGATAGATAGATAGATAGATAGACAGATAGATAGATAGATAGATAGATAGATAGATAGATAGATAGATAGATAGATAGATAGATAGATAGATAGATAGATAAATAAATAAATAAATAAATAAACAATCCAGTCTAAACAGAGAAATAAAGCTGTGAATTCAGTCCAAGCCAATTTTGTTCCAGTGTTGTTAACTACCATCTTTTAGTTTAAAGTATTTTTTTTTCTTAATATTTTCAAGATTCAGAAAGCAAGGGCCTATGGCAACACAGTAGCATTTATGTGATGCATTTTTATCACAGCTAGGGGCACCAGATTGCTTTTCCTGTATAGAGCCTTTCAGTGGAGTCAGAGGTAATATGTGTGTAAACAACAAAAATAGGTGTTATGTTTTCTAAACAATATCTCAAGTAGTGTGAAACACAATATGCCCATCCTAAGAGAGAACCTTAATCATAAAAGCTATAAATTCATAAAATGCATCTTTTTCAACTTTCTGTGTTTCATATACGATACATTACCCATGGTTTTCATTAATAAAGTTATATACAGGTGGTTCAAGGTAGGGTTAATCGGAACATGGGAGAAAAGGAAGGTTAGCCCTCTCCATCTTTGCCATGTCTCTGTGTGAAGAGTGATAGTCTAAACAGGACAGTGTTCTGTCCACGTGCAGCTTCTCCATGCAACCACAAAACCCTGAAAGTTCAGAGCTCTGGTTGTCAAGGGCAGCCTCCACACGTAGTGTAGGCTTGTCTTTTCACGTTATGACTTTTCACAAATATGGAGGGAGATAGCTTATGTCAAGGACAGCCTCCACACGTAGTGTAGGCTTGGCTTTTCACGTTATGGCTTTTCACAAATATGGAGGGAGATAGCGTCTTCTATTTGTGCATTCAGAAGCTATCTCCCTCCATATTTGTGAAAAGTAATGGGGATAAATTTTATATTGATAGCCATGGCATTTTGCTTTGTGAAACAAAGATCAAGGCATAACAGTGTGCTAATAACTTACAGAAGTGTACTACTGACTCTTTCATTCTGAATTCTAGTTTAGGAAGCCCACTAATACCACAATTTCCAGCAGATGACTATGTGATTTTTGTGTCAAAGGAATGACTTGCCGGAACAGGAGATATTGTGCTGGATGCAGGATGCTCCTCAGCCACTTGAACATCCATACCAGTTCCAGGGACTTTCAAATCCAGCACGAGCGTGGGCAGAGATGCCAAGTTGAATTCACCATCCCCCTGATCAGGAGTTGCTGCAGATGCAGATGATGTTGGAACATACTCTTGGTAGAGCAGATTGCGCAGTTTCTCATCCAAGCTTTTAATCGTGTTGTCTGTAAAATCAAGCCTGGGGGGTCCTTCTCCATCTGACTCTACTGCACAAGGAGGCTGAGGTGCACTAACGGCAAGGCCTGTGGACGGTGCAGTCTGGAACTGGGTGGGTGGCCCTACAGACATCTGGGATGTAGCCACTGACATGGGAGGAGGACTTGAAAGCTGTGGTGGTGGTGCAGGAGTCAGAGGATCAGGGACAGCAGTCACAGGAATTGTCTGGCCTACAAAAGAATGCTGCATCTGATTAGGCTGACTGTTGTCTGGCAAACTGGGGATTTGTGTTGAAGGCTGGTGTTCCAAAATAGGAGCATCAGAAACCACAGGCAGGGAGCAAGCTTCTGCTGTCTGTGCAGGAATAGGCTGAATCAGCTTTGGCAACCCACCAGTTTGCTGTTCAGTCTCTGAATTGGGCATGCAAGCATTTTCATCTATTTGCTGCTGCAGCTGTGTTGGGGGATTTATAGGGAGCTGAGTTTCAAAATGCTCTTCCAGTGAAGTTGTACTGGGAGCAGGAGTGTTAGACTGACTGGGTATAACAGGCTGGCTGGGCGCCACAGGCTGTAATGGAGGACCTTCTACTTGACCTATACTTTCAGCAGCCTGTTCTACAGCTTGTGGAACTGCTGCTGCAGCTATTGGCGGTATCGCAGTAGATGTTTCTAGCTGGACCTGTGAAAAGGAGGTCGAAGTCAGCGGAGCAGAGACTTGTGTCAGAGGAGAAGGAGGAGGTGTTCCTCTGGGGCTTTCATAGATGCTCCTTTGACTAGAAAGCTGTCGATAAGTGATGCTTGTTTGTCTGTCTGTCTCTGTAGAGCTCTGCTGCTGGTCATCTGACTGCTCTGGATCTGGAAGTAACAACAACAAAAGAAAACTGTGAATTCATAGAAAGAACAAGTTGTTTACATGTCAACATGGTTGACCATCTATGCATATGGGTGATGCACCTGCACAGAGCCCTGTGTAGGTTTGTTCTAACCAAGCATTCTGGAGGTAGATAAACCCCTCCATTGTGGATGTATAGGTATTCCCTCACTCCTTCCATCAATGCATCAAAACTGACATACAACTCAAAGCCCAGTAGAATGGACTGCTTGCATACAGAGGGCAGGTTGTATGACTGCACAGAGGTTCACTCAAAGAATTATGTGTACAGGTAAACAACCTGTTCTTTCTTTACCATGGCCTCTGTGTATCATATATATGGATGAACAAAAGTTGGCTTAAATGAGATAGTGCTTGAAGATAGCACCACATGGCTAAAGTGGGATATGCACAGGACTGCAGACCTCCAGGAACAACAGTAAGGATGACTGTAAGTGCTCTCCATTTAAACAGATTCTGAATGAAACTGGCAAACATTTCTTTACCTTGTGGCAACATATGAAGAGCCTTGGACACTTTTGGAACAGAGCCATATGATCTTTATAGAATGCTATGGCTGTACAAGGGATATCCAATGCGGCCTAGCGGATAGAGTGATTGACTTTTTCTCTATATGGCACAACCTTTTTCTTTATGGCACAAGGGGCAAAAGTTCTCCTCACCTAAGGTTTGTCAAAACAGCAATTAAGAGGCCACTTTCCAAGAAATTAGGGAAATGGAGAGATTGCTATGGGTTCAAGGGGTGATGATAGATAGACTTTTAATACTACTGACAGCTTCCAAGCCAGAATTGATAAGACGCTATTGGGAGAAGATTTTGTTAAGTCCTTTTAAGTAGAGCTGGATTGTAGCATGCATGAACAAGGACATGCCTTATAGAAAAAAACAATTTTTGTTTAAAAAAAGATCAAATGTAAAAGACAAACGCGTGGTGGCACTTTAAAGACTGTTACATTTTAATGTGAGCTTCCATGGACAACTCCACTTATTCAGATATAATAAGAGAAAGTGATATAACATGCTAAATATTTATACATGGCATCAAAATACAGAAATGTTGATTTGTTGGTTGGTTAAGAAAGTCAATGGGTATTTTACAGTGGGGTGATAGCCTCTTTGATATACAGGTATATTCCACTGAAGGTTGTGATGTAAAGGATGTAAGAACCTATGTCATGAATAACAATAGTAGAATACCATGTATATTAATTATAATGAAGAGATTGGCCCTTAACAGTTGCTAATGGCCTTTTCTTTATAGGAGGTCAACTGTAGTAATTTAAAAAATCACAATGATGTGTGAATTACCTCAGGCAATGGATGACCACAAGAGCAACATGGAAATGAGTTAATACTTTCTACTTTACCTTTGAAGTTTTTAGGTGGCTCTGTTACCATACAGAACAATTATTGTACTATAACCAGTGAATATGAAGCTGAAGATCAAACAGGTAGATGCAGATGGGTGACATTGAGAGATTTGATTACTTTAGAGAAAGCAAGAAATCAAGACCTAAAAGAATCAGAACGATGACAGGGTCACACAGGATTGAAACTTTCTTACAGAAGACTTCCACACTGCTAAGAGGAAATCCTTTAACAGATCCAGATCCTTTATCATGTTCAGGGATGAATGTGCCACAGAAATCCCAGTGAAGAATGTTTATCTTGTTGAGTTTCAGCAAACAAAGCTGGCAGGTGATAACAACAGCTTCAAATGAGACCCAGAAGCTTGACAAATCATGGCCAGCGAGCTATTAAGGTGCTGTTATGACAGTGTTGGGCTTATGTTCCTGAATCTTCACTATTACTTTAGCGAACAGAGAGAAAGTGAGGAAACAAATAGAGAAGTCCTGTCTACCTGAATAGGAAAGCATATTTTAGGATAGGCGTTGGGGAGGGGAGCACTGATTCCTAAGTTGAAAGCAACTTGGTGGCAAGTAATAACAAAATCTTGATCTCCAGCAATGAGAACCAAAACAATGTGGTCCCAAAAGAGAATGCACCACTTAGACACTGAATTCAAAATAATAATATAATAATAATAATATTTATTCATATTGCACTCTATATCAGAGTGCATTCCAATAGTCAAAAACAGTTAAAATACAACCAAAAGACAAGAATGTGAGCTGGTCCCT